AGCTATAGTATGAGAGCTATTTATGTGGCAGTACAGTGTGCTAGGTATTATAAGTAGCACAGATGATTTGAAGTTCATATACAGACACTATACCATTTATATAGGAGGCCTGAACATCCATGCATTTGGTTCTCTATAGGGGTCTTGAAACTATATCCTGTTGGAAACTTGAGGGCTGTCTACAGTCCTTTCTGCTTCTCTGCAGGATGTCTCCGAGCCTTTAATACCTTATAAAGGGCATAGAGTTCTCTACAATAGTGACCCAGTAAGAACTACTTTCTAAATTTGACCAAAACAGTTTGACTTCTTCACCAAATCATCTCCCGAGGCTCAAGAAGTATTGAGATAAGAATTGATTGTCCTACAAATGTTTCTTCTCAAAATTTCAAAAGTCTCCATTACATGAGAGACACAACAGATTCTGTAAAATCACAAAATAGATACAAAGAGGCATGGGACTTAAGAATAAAGGCCTCATGTTTTAACTTTTGTCCTGCTTCTGGTACTGATACCCCATGTGGTTGATGGGACACATCATCGGGTACTTGACTGCTTACACAAGTACTTCTTGGCTTAAACCAATGCTCTCCCTGGGCTGGAATCCTAGTTACTATTCATCTGAGAAACAACTCAAAGGCAACTTGACTATGAACTGGTCTGAGTCTGCTTCATGCATCTTGCCTCTGCAGTCCATAGCTGGGTGCCAGCCTCTCTTGGGTAGATCTACCTCACTAACCAGGGTGTTGTATCTCTCCAAATAAAGGGTCAGTTTTTAAAGTTGTTAGACCTTGGTCCTCTTGATGGACCTAACCTGGTGACTCAAATATAAAATGGCAAAGCAGCCTGGAGGCTCAACACAGTAGAGTGAATATCTGAGGTTAAAGCCTAAGGTTTCCTACTCTGCTAGTTGACTAGCAGACAAGCCATCTCAGCTCCTCCATGTCTCTGTGTCCACATCTATAAAGTGGATGAAATAAGCAGCCACTGAAAAGAGCCACATGGAGGAAGTATTGTTTCAGTGCATATGCCAGACTGGGAGCAGGCCCTCCCCCACTGATGGTTTTACTCCACACCCTTACCACCACACTCAACCATAGTGGCTATCTCCTGCTAGCAAAGGGGTGGTTGGTTAAGAAGCAGGCTTTAACAAACCAGGAGGACCTTTAATTAACTGTGGTAGTCAGAAGTAAATAAGCCTTTTAAAAAGATAAACAGTCTAGATGTATCCCATCTAGTCTGGTTTCTATGGTCAATTTGCTTAACCAACTCTTCCTTTGTCACTTGCCCTGTATAAATGAGTGATCACAGCTCTGAGCTGGGTGACTCAAAATGAATGTGCAACCAAAGGCTGACCCATCTCCAGAGTGCACTGAGGTCCCTTTTCAGTGGGAAAAGAGGGGGATCAAAAGTGAAAGATGTCATGTCTGAAAGGCCATTGTCAGAAAGAATGCCATTATTCCCAGCAGATACTCTAAGATCTTTGTAAGAGCTCTTGAACAAAAATGATGTAGCTGCCCTATGGCTCAGTCTCCTTGCCCTGTTAGAAAGGGTGTAGAATGTGAGAGTGCAGGTTCCAGGATGACCCTTCATGAAGGCAGGCTGTGGGGAGAAATACACCAGAGAAATAGCCTAAAGAAAGTGGTCTTGGTTAATTGGACTTTACTTTTTTATTCACATTTCTACTGGTATCATGTCTTCAAAGTGTTTGGCATGTGACAGAATTGGGAGAACAAATACAGTGTGGGTCTAGAAACAATGTCCCATCATGGGGACATTGGGAAAGGTAGGGTCATGCACAGCAAGTCCAGGAAGATGAACATGTCAAGAGGCCTTTGATGTTTGCTATACAGGTACATGATGCTGAGGAGGCTGAGTGACCTACTTCAGGGGAAAGCCCATCCCAGGAGAGACTGCCATGGGGAACCTGATAGTACCCACACAGCACTGGTCTGATAATGGCAACAACAGCGAGTGAGATAGGAGACGAGAGAAGTAGTGGCACTAGCAAATGGCTACACTGTTCTCAAGCAAGTTGTGAGCCTGAGCAGAGTTCCTGGGGCAGGAAAGAGGCTGTCTCAGACGTGGCCACAGAGCTAGTGGCTGGAACCAAAGAGTATGAACACAAAGGAACAGAAGAATCATGGCAAGAGAGAAGCTGGTGGGTTCAGGGCTTAAACCCCACCCCATCCACCATCAACAGTGAGATACCTGCTTTATTCAGACCTCCAGAGGCTGAAATCTCATGGCTGTGGGCCTGGAACTTTCTTACCTTGCAGGCAGGCTGAAATCTCATGGCTGTGGGCCTGGAACTTTCTTACCTTGCAGGCTGTTCCCGTTGGTGCTGGTGCAGGTGGGAGGCGGGGAGGTCTGGGGTCTGACAACTGGTGCAAATGCACTCTTTTGTTTCACGGCAGAGACCATGTTGGCTGGTGAGAAGGAGAAGATGCCCGACGAGCTGCTGCAGTTGGAGGGGAGGCTTGTAGAGGAGGCCATGGTGGGGCTGGATGGTACGACTGAGAGCAACAATGAGAAAGGAGAATTACATCCAGAGATGAGGGGGCTTGCATAGATCTGACCCGGCCTCAATGATCTGACCATTTGTAGACAAAGCCCAAACTCTTGGCACCCTGCCCACCTTCATTCACCATTTGGTACTTAGCATGTCCTGCCTTCAAGTCAGTGACTTTCCTGAGTTTAAGCTATTTACAATAGTTTACTGTTTACTATTGTATGCCCAGTAGTGTGCAAGTCACTAGTGTCACAGACAGTTTCCAGGGGTGTAGGGATCCAAACATATGAAGCATGTTGAGTAGGGAAACATAGAGCCTTTACCCTCTTAGTTTTCCAGGAAAGAGAACAAAAGCCCAACCTCTTCGTATCAGGGATAGCACAGCACAAGAGGGACCAAGGTGGGTGCAGCCATCTCTAGGGAGACAGAAGTGACACCAAATGGGATGTCACAAAGAGCTTTTAGGGAAAGCCTTCCATCTCTGGCTTAAATAAGGTTCCCACAAGATCTGGAGACAGACAGGACATGGAGAGGCTAGTTTGGAAGGATGCCGTTACTAATGGAGGAATGAGATCTATGAGGAAGAAGGGGGAATTGAAGGGAAAACCAGCACTGCGGCTTTAGGCTCAGGCAAGTGGTGGTGTGTGTAAGCCCCTTTTCTCTCCAAGACCTGATAAGGCCTGTAAGGATGGGTCTGCATGTAGATGCTCTACCACATAGACTCCTAGACTCCAGTAGGTAGAAAGTTAAGTAAACAAGAACACCGCCACATGCAACATCTGTGAGAAACATATCACTCTAAATTGAGGTTCCAAGTTCCCCCTTCCCATGGTGCTTTCCACAAATGTTTGTGAGATAAGCAGGGGGACTCAAAGATGCATGCAAATCCTGTCAGGTAATAGTGGGGACTCAGATACTACACACTGAGAACACTTTGACAATTGTGGTTACCTCAGGAGACAGAGATGTCTCAGTGTCAAGGCTAATGTTTTCATATACACACTTCCTTTGCCTCTGTGTCCTAGATACTCTTGTGTTCTCTATTGTTCATATTACTTAATAAACATCACAAAAGCCTTTTTTTGGTTTTGTGGTTTTTCGAGACAGGGTTTCTCTGTGTAGCTTTGGAGCCTATCCTGGCACTCGCTCTGGAGACCAGGCTGGCCTCGAACTCACAGAGATCCGCCTGCCTCTGCCTCCCGAGTGCTGGGATTAAAGGCGTGCGCCACCAATGCCCAGCCACATAAGGCTTTTTGATGCACAAGATTCTTCATTTTTCCATCTTGTCATTGACAAGAATAACAGAAGGCCAGGGGCTTGTGACTATTTAAAAAAAAATGTATCAGTGAATTGGAACTCAGAAAGTAGTTGAAGTAATTGCTGAAGGAACACAGCTAGGATGTAGCTTGGCCTCATGGCTTTGGAAAGTTGGACATATCAGCCATCACATCGGTCATAGGCAAGGATTGCCATCAGAAGGAAATGACCCTTTGCCACCAGCCCAAGCCAGCATGGGTCCAAATGGGCCAAATGCCTCCAGGAGGAGAATAGAGAGGCCTCATCTATACCTCAGAGCTCTCCCAAACATTTACTAGACTGTACTTTTTCTTTTAATGAGACCAGCATTTTTATCCATCTCTTAGGATTTGTAAATGTGGGAATGTGCTCAATAATAACACCCATTTAAATTGCAAAATTCCTGCACTGGAGGTTTGATTTTTAAATATTCTTAGACTTGAAATCCTGCTGGCTCACCACGGAAGGAAATTAATCTCGTTGGCAAATGCGATCATTATGTGTATTTAGAGGTGGGTAGTTTGGGGGGGCAGTTAACAAGAAAGGGGTGAAATATAGTGGAGTATTGCCATTTGTTACAACATTATTAGTTACTAGACGCCATACCACAGAGTGTGTTCACCAGCAGAATGTCTTATTTTATTTTTTTATTCTGTCGGAATTTTTCAACATGAGTGGTTTATGAATAATTAAATATTACAGAGGCAAAAATTCAAATCAGCTGGGCTCTGTGTTTATTGTTTTATTTGCATTTATGCAGATAATACTGTCCCATCTGAGGGTCTATTTGGGAATTTAATACTATATTTGTGAGCTCTGAGGAAATCAATTAATGGAAATTAAATGTTCAAAGTTTCTCAGGCTGACAGATGTGATCTTAGGCAGAAGTCACTGGATGTCTACACAGGCTCCTGAAGGTGAATGTCCAGAGCCCCTAAATTGAATCTCTCCCATATAGCAATTAACTTATTGATTTAATTAAGAATCCCACCTTTTAATTTTCAGATCATGATTGAAACATTTTCTGATTGAGTAGCTAAGAGAATGCTGAGGGGTAGATCTTTCAATAAATCAAAACCTAATGTGTAACTGACCCTACTGTTGGCCAGTAAACAAACTCGGAATATGCAGACTAACTGGCAGATTTTAAATGTGCTACAAATGGCCAATTCTAAACAGAAAAATTAGAAATGCAAAAACAATGCACCCTGAGCAGAGAATTCCCCCAGAAATTACTCAAGGCCAGGGTAACCTGTCCACCTTCAAGCTGTTAGCCACACTTCAACATGGAGACAGCATTGTTTTCTGTATGTTTAGGTAAGATTCATGAATATCCCTTCATTTAACAAAGCATCCCTGTTCCTCTACAAATGTACATACATCCAGTCACATTTTCTACATCTGAAGAACTCAGCCATCTATGGAGAGGTCCTCAGAGAGACATCAAGAGATTGTGGGGACAAAGCCTGTGACATTTTATAGTGAGAAATACCAGTTTGCTGATGCTCTTTAGATGTCCTTGTTTATATATAAAGATGTCGATTTGCTAAATTATTTAGATACAATCAAAGTGTTGTGCCCTCCCCCCAAATCCTTTAAGATAAATTTCGTTAAGGTAGGAACAGGGCACCTAGGAATATTCATATTCTGTATTGTGTGGCAGGGGGAGGGAGTTCATCTTACCAGATTTTTGTGAAAAATATATGCTGACATCTGTTATTTTTCCTCTTTAAGAGTATATTACACACAAAAAGGAAATAAATAGTACCATCAGAAAACAAGATCTATTATTTAATGAGGGATCTATTGTCGAAGCATGAGGACAATGACTTAGATTTCCAAATGCCTCAGTCCTGTGCTGTGCCTGAGGACTAGATTCTGGCAAGCACATCTTACCCATGTTCTCCAACACTTCTCCTCTTAAGGATGAGAAAGCTAAGGCATGGAGAGGACATGAACTACCCAGGGGCCTCCAGTTAGCAACCACTGGTGGTGGGCAGCAAACCCATTGCCATCTGACCATAGCATGGGTTCTTGAAATGGCATCGTGTGGCTGCTTGTGTGCAAGGTGTGAATGCAGAGATCTCTGCTGGAGAGGATGGTGTTTAGGTATTGAGGGTAGCAGGCTGAGGGAGGGGGACCAAGCAGCCCTGCCTAGTTGGCTTCTCTACATGATGCTGTGAGGGAAGACATACAGGACTCAGAACAGATATCTACTTACTGGCATAGGGTGAGTTGGCAGCTGAGCCATTGAGGAAGGTTGGGGAGCCGCCCAAATTGGACATGGCGGCAGAGCCGTAGCCATTCATGCTTGTGGTGACAGAGTTATAGTTGGTCTGCTGTGGGGTGGTGCTCGGCACATACCCATGTGGTGACACGCTGCTTGAGTTGCGGGTGAAACCTGAGAAGTCAGGGCAAAACCAGGGATGAGGGTAGAAATCAGATGGTGGCATTCTTGGGAGACCTGGGGTATCGGGGAGGAGGAACATTTCCATTATGCCCCTTCATAGCAACCAAGAGGGAAAAGACCTAGTGATTCATGTGCGTGGGTTGGTGGTGCTATCTCTGATTAAAATGGGAAGCTAGCAAAGACACATTTCTTAGGAGATCATAAATACTTAGCAGGGCTGTGAGAAGTGGCAATGCAGGGCCTATAAATTATCATTTTGGAGCAGGAATAAATGACAATCTAAGAGATGTTCCCCCGAGTTAACAGGTCCCTCTTCCCTGGGCAAGAATGATGTGTTGTGGCCTATGAGAACTTTAATTCCATCCCTCTTTGTGATCTGTCATGATTTATGGGGAAAAGTTGGATGTAGATAGAGATGGCTGCATGCTTGCATGCATGCATTCTTTCTAGCCCCCTACTAGGTTTCCAGATGTGAGACTAGAAACAAAATCCTACAACCATTCAATACACACAAGTGAAGAATCTTCCCCTTTTGGAAGACACACACACACACACACACACACACACACACACACACACACTTGCAGAGGCAGAGGGGTGGTAGATTGAGTTTGTCAAGGGGTGGGGGAAATGAAAGAGAGGGAAAAAGCAGGCTCCTGACCTTGATTGGTGGCTTGTGATGCCTCAGAGACATTCACAGCCAGTTGTCCACTGAAGGAGTTCACGCCCATCATCCCTGCATGGACCGAAGTATTAGCAAGAGCTGGAAGCTGGTTGTGGTTTCGAGGAACACTGTATAGAGCCTCTGCAATGTCTGCAGCTATTTTCAAGATAATCTCCTGAAGAGTCAAAGATGCATCATTGTTAGCTACCCTGACTCATACTCCCAACAGCCCCATCTTCTTGTGCTTCCTCTTTGACAGATCCTGTGCTCAGGGCCATCAATGACCAATCACATTACTTTCTGTATTCCTGCTGATGCACCTATGAGGCCAAGTTTCATCATCCTGACCACATCACTCACAGTCACAGAAACTGAGGCTGTGAAAGGCAAAGAGCTCACTCAAGAATATTCATTTCTTTAAAGATAGAGCTGAGATCCCGAATGCCATTTGCTTGATGCTGTCAGTATATGACAGTACTGTGGGATTTCCTTTTTCCTCCACACATAGGAACTCAGGGCCTGTGCACCATGCCCCTTTGCTGCCATGCAGGAAAGCCAAAGTCTGTGGATTAGTATAACTGTTTTCTAAACAGTGAACTCCGGGGAGGGGAGGAAGGAGTGAGATTGGTCAGAGCCAATTTCCCAAGCAGCTTCAGTTCTTTGCATACACTTGCTTCACAATACATGAATAGCACTCTTTGGGCCTTGTTCTATACTTTAGGAGAAGAAATTTAGCCCTTCCTTCTCCTTAACTTGATGAAACTTGAGAGCAATAAAATGAAATACAGTAGCTCTCTTCTTCAGCCCTGAAGCACATTCCTAATGGAGATTCATTTTTTAAATGGAGCATCTTTTCCAGAAAGGGACAGGACACATTTCAAAAGGGAAGTGGAAGATTTGCAAAAGCTGTAAGGTCTGAACAGTCCTATGACATGCCATATCCCAAATCATAGATATTTAATACACAAGTATAGCTTTCATAGCATTTTTATACTTTTCATACAATAAAGACTCTGAGATTTTTCATTGAATGAGGAAGCACTTCATTAACTTAGAGACCTGGAACACTCACTTGGTTGTTGTGAGGCATCCCATACAGGGCTTCAACAAGATCTGCAGCCCTTTTAAGGATCACTTCCTGTCAAGGAAAAGAAAAGATAGGCATAAGCTTCTGAATGATAGCAGGTGTCCTCATCTTTCACATGACAGCATCCCCATCCTTCTAGCCATCCTTTTCCAAGACACAATTGTAAAAGCAGTAGTGTGGGGACCCCCAGAATGGTATTGTCACCAATTTATCCTTGTTCACATACACACTTAACTGAGTCAAAAGGTGAGCATCATTGGTACTGTAAGATAAAATACATCACTCAATCGTCTGGCATAGGCACGATAAAGCACTCATATGTTGATTGCTGAATACATTGCGTGGACGTTTACTAGATTACTATAATCGATGTCATTCAGCACATGGTATGAATCCCTAAGATGTGTTTATTTTGTACTTAATTGCTTATTCCAGAAACCATGACCTTATCAGACAGGTCGTTTTCAAGGAATTTCCAATCAATCTTCAGGCACTGAGGAAGCATGTAGCCTTAAGCTTCTTTTGTTTGTCTCTCTTGTATGGCAGAGCTATGAGGATGTGATACAGGAAGCTCACATGCCAAATGAATACAGTGTTGAACAAAGGCCCTTGCAAAAGGATTCTCCTCTCCCTAAAAGCCCCCACTGTGCCAATATTCATGACTAGTAGTACCCTTGATATTTTTGCTCTTTCTATAGTGTTGGTGTTTCTCTTCTCTTGCTCACTCATTCTTTTCATAGACCTATGCTTTACTACTCATTCAGCTTGAAGAAAAAGGAACTCCCTCTTCTTACTAAGTTAGGCTTCCACCTTTGGCTTGCATGGGTCTAATCAATGGGGGAACTCAATAAAAGCACACATTTGGACGAACATAAGGCATACTCTCTCCATTTCATCTGATTTGTCTATATATTTATCTTCATTAGCATAAGGTAAAGACAGTAGCAACATTAGACTTGGAGCTGGTAAAAACAAACAAACAAAAAATGGGGCTTGCCGAGCGTTGGTGGTGCACACCTTTAATCCCAGCACTTGGGAGGCAGAAGCAGGTGGATCTCTGTGAGTTCAAGGCCAGCCTGGTCTCCAGAGCAATTACCAGGTTAGGCTCCAAAGCCACACAGAGAAACCCTGTCTTGAAAAAAAAAAATAGAGCTTAACAAAGAGCCCCATCCAAGAATGTAAGGTAGAGAGGGGACTTATCAAAAGGTTTGTTGACTATAGTTCAGTGCTGGAAAAGTTGCAAATGGAAGTATAACTTTAAAATCAGATGCCTTGGAGTTCAGAATGAGAAAGCGGTGCCGTTCCATTTTCAGATGCTGCAGACACTGATCAGAAAATAGGGCTATAATTGCATTCATTTCGCTGTCACTGTAGCCTCTTCAAAAATCCTTGAACAAATCTTTAAATGACAAGCTTTTAGATATATATTAGCATTTTTCAATTCAAAATTCTCCACAATATAAGATAAAACAGTTGTCATACTACAGTAACTACTTATCACATATATAATGTCCTAAATTCAAAAATGAGTTAGAGGATTTTCCAGCTCTTGATAAACATAGATGCTTGCCTTAAGCTGCGAGATACACCCCCCTTTCTAAAAGAATACAGTTGTTTTCATGAAGGGGGTAGAAAGCACAATATAATCAATGGAATTTGAATGAATATATATGTATATATATTTACATATATAAACATTCCTTCACTTTTTAATGCAAGCTACAAGATAACTTACTACTTTTTGTAAGCAGTAGTATCTGCTCAGAACAGTTAATAATTGACCATAGTATGGGCACACTAAACCCTATCCCCAGCTCAAATTCAGCTAGTACAGCTTTCATCAAAACCTTGTGGCTTTATGTGGCTCCAAGGGAAGATTAAAACAAAACACCATCAACTTAGTTCATTTATTAAAAGATCTGCGTCTATGGTCATGTATTTTTCCAAATAAATATTTATGCCCATGTCTGGGCTCTGCTGGGAAGGCATTTCTCTTTCTTTACATTTTTGAAGGAAAATATTTATATACAAATCTCCTGTTGCCCAAATTTTTAACACAGAATATAAAAAAGTAGTGAATTTCAGCCTTGCCACGCTATAATTGGAGACTGCAGCCACCCTTCTTGTTTTATTAATTTCACAAAATCAGGGAGTAAATGAGTTCAGAAGGAATCTTAAAGGATTTTACAAATCTGAGAAACTGCATTTTTGGTGACCAAATATTTTCAGTGATGTGACAAACCTGGTAGTTTATTTTAATGCCACAGTCTGGTCACCACATAACCATTTGAGAGTGAAGGACATGGAATCTACCACCATCCCCAACACTGGATCCTTTTGATTCTTGGTATTGCTATCTCTGATTCATAATGGTGGGGCTCAATTTTTGTAACCCAAACACATGGTCATAGGCATGGTATCAAGGAAAATGAATCTAGATGTCTTGTCCAGAAAGCTATGTCCTTAAATGATACCTCACCCATCTGAAAATGTCCTTCACTGTAGTATCAAATTTGGGGGTTTTAGGGAGAGCCACATTTAATTTAACACTGCCAATGTGACTGGGTTTCTGTTAGTTATTTGTGCAAATGGGAAGGAAGAAAGACATTCCTGGGCCCTCTATGAGTTAGTGCCACAGACCTGCAAGGTGCTTGGATTTCGGTGACCAGAAAATTGCTCTCACCTCCATGTCATTAGGTTCCCAGTGAACTAGCCCCCAAGCGTGTTTGTGTTGGGGATCTAATATATTGCCTTTCAATCAGAGCTGAGAGCCACTGAACACAGAGACAGAACATGACGAGCAGGTCAGGAAAGCAATAAAGATTTTACAGAGCTGTCCAAGGTGCTAAATTTACTCAATAATGGGTTTGGCACCATAGTGTTAACCTCTCATTTACTACCAGTTTGAGGGACTAAATTGAAGTAGCTGACTTCATTTACCTTGAAATGTATATTTTATGACATTATGTAAGTAGATTGAAAGGGCACTGCAGTTTTAACAATTTAAAGGCTAAAGCATGTTTAAGACGAAACTTGAATATTTATTGTATATTGCTCTTAAAGTATATAGAATGTTAAAATGTATTGATTAAATTTGTAAAAGGCATTATAAAATGACAGGTAGTATAAGAGATGTATGTCTTTTAAAATCAAATTGATAGTGTGTGCTATCTCCTCTGTGGCCACAAGTGTAATTTTTTTCTTTTGCAGTTTTAAAAGGTAATTTGAGAAATCTGTAATTTCACATTAGGAAATAATTGAGCCTCAGACTTTTTTTTAAAGAAATTTCCCACCAGGGGGAAAACTGCATATTTCATATAGTATTTTGTCTTAGAAATTATCCCTTAAGTCCTATTTTGGTGGCATTAGGTGGGAGTATTGTGGAAGGAGCCTTCAATTCTAATATTCAATTTCAATATTTCTGAAAGAAAACCTACTTGGCTAGTACTAAAATCATATTTTTTTCAAGGCATTCATTTGTCAGAGAGATTTTCTCTTCCTAATGATAAAATGTCTCCCTGCTTGCACTTTTAAACACAAGTTAGAGAGATTAGAGTATTTCATGATAATTAACCCTAGACTTGGATTTCAAAGGCAAATCCCATTGGAAAATAAAAAAGACATCCAAAAGTACCCTAAATACTGAAAGTCTCCAGAGCCTCCAACCAAAATTCTGAGTCAGACAATTTTGTTGTTGTTTTGTTTTCTCTGCAAGGCCCGGAAGTTTTAAAGAAACACAAAGTGTTTGTTTTTAAGAACAACCTTGATCTATTTCCCCTCAATCAGAATCTGTCTTCTATTAGGCAGTGGTCATGGAATAATGATTATAGAAATGGAGGAGGTGTGGGGAGGAACTATGCTACAAAATCTACTGAGAGGTAGCAAGAAAACTGTAGAGACTTGAAGAGGAGTGAGGTTCCAAGAAAGAGTTCCACGTGGTGGCTAGCATCTTTTCTTATGATTTGGGATCACCGTGACTAAATGGGCTACGAGGGGAAGTCCAGGTTTTTCCATGAGGTAAGCCAATCAGGTAGTGAGTGATTTCTGAGCTATTTGTGCCCTCAGTTATCCCCTGCTAAGTATCATTGTCCAGCTACTTCGAAGACCCATTACCCTCCCAGAAGTGAGCTTCAGGGCTCCACAAGGGTTACCACAATTGCCTTCATCCTCCCTTCATACTCTAGTAAAACTTCTTTCCCTTGGTGCTGGAGAGCTGTTCTCAGTTAAGGTCTAGGCAATCCTCCTGAACCTGGAGTGAGGATGGTAGGCTCCTTCTGTGCTGTCTCCTTACTCTGTTCTTGTTGCCTTTTCTTCTTTGGAGTAACCATTTGCAATGCCTCCCACTCCCCCTGAGACAGGAGAGATCACCGGTGGGGTAGTCATGGCAGAGAAAGTGAACTACAGGCTCATCCAGTCTTCTCAGAGAACATTTGGCAAATGAAGAAATGGAGATTCAGACAGGTCAGTCAATTTTCTCTGAGTGGACACAGCTGATGAGGGGTTGAGCAGGGACTGAACCCCAGACCTGTTACATTTAAGAACCTGAGATCTTGACAGCTATTCTAATCCTTCATAAATGATTTCAGCTTTTCTGCTACCCAGGTCATTTAGAGCTCTCTCTTTCCTCTCAAAAACAGTGCTAACCATACCACCCAGAACTGCATAGAGTATATACCATAAGATACTTTGCTCTGGTCTGAAAGATGCAAGCCTCCACTGGCCACCACTAGATGATAGATTCCTTAAGGCTCTGCATTCATCTTATTCTCCTTCCTTAAGCTCCTGGAACAATGCTTAGAGAAATCCAGGCCCTGAGAAAGTTCCTGGGGAGGAGTCAATTCTAAGATTCCATCACTGATCTTCTAAAAGCGCATGTCTAATTTGTATTAATACACCAGTGTCACATTTGCTGCAATTCATAAAAGTACAAGTGTGAAATTTGGTGTTCTATAAGGTTCCTGACTGTTTCATCCAATGTGTAAATTCCCAAAGGCTGAGTTCTAATCACTGTATTTTTTTAACATTGCTTTTTTCTCTTAAGAATTTGCTCT